AGTAGGAGTAGGAGTAAGCGTAGGAGTAGGAGTAGGAGTAGGAGTAGGAGTAGGAGTAGGAGTAGTACTAGTACTAGTACTGTACTAGTACTAGTACTAGTACTAGTACTAGTACTAGGAGGAGGAGGAGGAGGAGGAGCCCGTCACTGCGCGCGCACAGCTTACTGAATTGATACCTTTGCACTCTGTGCTGGCCCGATTCAGGTCAGCTGGAGCAGTGCATTGCTTCTCGGATGTTAGCAATGTTGTTGCTGCTAAGGGCAGGGTGGAGGTTCAGGTTTGCCATCTTCGACTGCCATGATCACTTTACATATTATAGGGCCTAAAATATATTTTAGGGGAAAAATGTTTTTTCCCTTTATGTAATTTATTTTTCCCCTATAATACGCCATGATCACTTTGAGATTCCAGCTTGCCGCTGAAGCCTCGCGCTAGTGCTCAACCCTGGCCTGAATGCCCCGAGGCTTCCTTGGGCCCTTAAAGCTTCCGAAGCTCTTCAAAATCAGGATCTGGAAAGGCCCTTAAAATAGCAAAACGGAAACCCTAAACCCAAAACCCTATAAACCCTAAACCGCAACATGTAACTCGACTCCAAACTTGAGATCCGGAAACCAGTCTGAGGCTCTGGTCTTTCGGCATGTCAAGGCACCTTTACTGCTGGCAAAGTCGGAGCTGTGCTTTGGCATGGGGAGTCTCCTTCTTCCGGACACAACTCTCAGGACTGCGTGTTCGTCCTTTGTGGTTTTTTGGGGTTTTGAGGGTAGCATAGGCGCTGGCCGACACCTCAGTCCGTGCTGCAAGAGAGGGTTCAGGGTTGGCAGTGCCAGTGGCGGTGGAGATGGCCGTGAAAATTGCCAGCTATGCGCGAGAGAGTCTCCCCGAGAAGGCTGCTGCACTCCCTCCATGTGCTCAGGTCGGCCAACCAGGACTGAGTTGATGCGAAGTTGGGCTAGTTGCCCTAAGCTCCATTGCTGGTCTGGGGCTCTGGGCTTTCACTTGGATGTGCCTGGGGTCTGTTCGCAGCTTCAAGATTATCGCGAGACATTCGCTGTTGGAGTTACTTTGTCACTTGTCAATATGTCTGCCTCCTTGACTATGCCGCTCCATGTTTCCGGAGTTGAGTCCGAGTTCACAAACGGGGGCAGCACATGCAGACTCATCCATGCAAGTTCTCTGACCCGCCTCATCAACAGTCACTGACCGGAGCCTGCCAAGCAAGGCCTAGGATCATGTTTTGCGATATGTTCACTTTCCTTGGCTGCGCATGACAAAGCTATCGAGGACCTCAAGAAGGCCGTGCATTGTGCGTCGACTCGGATCCAGCCCCCCAGCTGCAGTAGGAGCTCGGTGGGCAACGTTCCGTTGCAGTGTCGAATCGTCGTCGCTGGGAAAGTACCAGTAGCTAGGCGTCACGAGACCTGCAGAAATCAGAACTTCCCATGGAGTTTCGTGCTTTTCCCAGGCAGATCTGGACTATGCTAAACGGCCTGCAGAAGGAGATCGAGAATCAGTTCAATGTCCGACACTTGACAATGCCAGAGGTTCTCTTCTGGTTGAGTGCTGCAGCTCACAGACAGCTCATTGAGACTCGAAGTCCTCGCGAGCTCCAAGTAGCTAAACCCGTCGTCGTAGTTTCTTTCCGGGCTATCTTTAGTGTTTCCTCGTCGCGGCTTCCAATTACAAAACACGGAATCTAGTTTTCAGCTAAATTGGTAATCCACAGATATTCTCTCATGCTGTGGCCCCTTTGGCTTTTGAGCTCTCCGCTTAACTTCGACCTCTCTCAGTGTGAAAACTGTTGGGTGGGCGATGATTCATTCTGCCAAAGCATGCTTTCGAGAAGTGCACGCACTCCGAATTCTTGCACATGCTCGGAAGCTGTAGCTGCATAGGTGTTGTTTCGATGGCTTCAATGATTTGGTTGAACCCTAAACCCTAAACCCTAAGCCCCGAAACCCTAAACCCGGCTTTTCCAGCAGCGCAGCATCAACCAGGCACAAGCTTCCGACTGCGAGAAGGGCCCGACAAGCTGAAGCCAAACAGACCCAAACCAAAATAAGAAAAATAAGGGCCTAAGTAATTACCAATACTTGTTTTTTTTTTTTGGGGGGGGGTGGGGTCCTTATTACAATCGTCGTATAGTGGACCGCAGAACCCTATTCCGGCCTGTTCTGATTGTTAAGGCCCCTACATTATATTGCCCCCCGAGTGCCTAGTCAGGATTCTTGAGCGAAGACGGTCAGAGCCGTCTTCAAGAGTCAGAGCACGGCAAGGAGAGGATTCTCATAAAGCTTTCCCAGAGGCATTGGTGCAAGTGTCGCGGGCTTCCTGTAGCCTTAGCAATAGGATTAGGCTGTTAGGTTCATTGGGCCAATTGGGCATATCACGGGAGTGATATGCAAACAACGGCATTCGCTATAGTAATGCTTGCCGAACCTACCTCACACACTACCGACGGCAGCTGCCAGGTGATACCTCGAAGGTGTGTAGCATAAAGGCTCAAGTTACACTGGTCGGGTGCAGGAGCTGGACGATGCGCCGGAAGCAGTGCTCCAGTCATTCTACACATCTCCAGCTTCTTTGAAGCCATATCAAGCTCGTGGGATGTTCAGGGTACGCGGCAAAGAACCGCGAAGCGTGACGGCTGCGGTCTTTTCTTGCCAGAGCCAAACCCTGTGTATGCCCACATCATCTAAGGCACCTTCTGTCTCCACAGCCGTCGCTGCTGTCGATGAGCAGTGCAAGTGGATGGTGCTGCCTGCTGAAGCGCATCGCGGCCTTTCATTCGGAAGTAGCACCTTAGTCGTCCGCCCACGTCGCAAAAATAAGCACCGCGCAGAGGCCCAGCAGCCAAGAAGAGCCCGAGCTACAGGTCTCGGCACCAAGGCTCCAGACTGATGGCCCTCAACCATTAAGGTTCCGTGAAAGACAGGCTACAACCACGTTTGCATTGAATATATAAGCTAGGCTTCAACACCGACATGATTGATCTCGGAGTAAGGACGGTGAGTGTGGAGGTGGTCGTAGACGACCGCGATTCGTTGGGCTTCCGTGCCGGCGGGGTGGATGTGCACATACCAGGACGGATGGCCTTAGGGATCTTGTTCTCGCGTTTTGCTTTTCGTTTTTTGGAAGCGAAGGTTCTGGCTTCAAGCGAGGTGCGTCAATCACTAGGCACTACCTGGAGGCCCTTTTGACTTAGTAAGTCTACTTAGTATCCCCCAGGAGCCCTATTATAATCCCCATAACCCACCTTACTAACCCNNAGTCAAAAGGGCCTCCAAGTAGGCTTGGCAAGCATCTCGAAAGTTCGGGACTCCAAGCCTCACTCAAGACAAAGTGGGACAACAACGACAAGCTAAGACAAGAATTGACACAGCAGGCAAAGAGAAGACTATGCTTGTCCGCTGATACCCAACCAAGACATACAACGACAGGATAGTAGATACAGAGAGAGACTCTTATTATCGCGAAACGGTGGCACGTGTTTGAGTTCCCGGTGTCGTGGCACAATTCTAACCATTTCTTCGAAGCTTCAACGCGCTTCAATAAAAATATGGCCAGGTTTAATACGAATTTATCTGGTCATGTCGCGATTGTAATCGTGTCTTCTAAGGTTCAATGAGACATCCTAAGATTTCTCGGGCGCGAGGTACTGCATTTTCAATCTGCACAATAATGTGCATTGGCATTACCGGGCCAGTTTGACAAACATGTGCATGCATATGAGCATATGCTTTGTACTTTTAGCATAAGCCCTGAGGTTTAAAGGCCTGCGGTTCTAGAGTCTGTTAGATTTGTTGGCGCTTGCGCTTTAGATGACGGAGTCTCGGGGTGTGAGGCGGGGGGCTGAGGCCCATCGGCCAGGCCGATTGGGGTTGTCGACCAAGAGCTCGAAGTCTTGGGCCAGCAATAGAATAAAGATGAAGAAAGATTAGCCCAGACAACTAAACTGTGTCATCAAGGAAAATGAAGACACATGAAAACTGAGAAATGGAGACAACTATAGACTGTAGACAAAGAAACACAAACTAAGACAAATGAGGACCGCTCATGACAAGAAGGTGATGAAATAAGGTTCAATCAGGTTCTATGTTTTGGAGCCAAAACGCCCAACTTTTTGAGGGCACCGCAAAACATCAACGAGCTAAGGGCCTCCACCTTAAGATATTCCGGACCTTGAATGCCCCGAACTGCACTGCTAGCATGGGCTTGATGGGCCTGTGCTCGTGAGCATGGGCAAGGTTTCCAGCCGTTCCAAGTTGCACACTGCATGGCACGCTGCATGGTGTTGACTGGCAGCGGTGAGCATGACAGTTTTCGACGTTGGGGTTCGTGCATGTTCAACGGGAACATATATCAACTCAAAGCCGTAAGCTTTGGCGAACCCCAGCCCTAAACGCCAAGACCTAGAGCTTCAGTGAGTCTGCAAGGAGCTCGGACGTTTCGGCCGCCTTGGTGCCCCCTCTTTGCGAGCGAGCCCTGGGATAGCAGCCATTTTATCATTAACAGAAATCTTGAAAAAGAGCCATCTGATGCAGAAATCATAACAT